TGAATATTGACCATTGGATTGTGTTAGGAATAATGGAAGGTGGAGATTAAAAGTAATTAAGTAAGAAAATTTTCTAAATTCATTTATTTCAAAATTTTAATATAATAGTAATATAATATAATAATAATAAAAAGTTATGTGAGTAACGGTAAAATGTAATTCAAAATTTATTATAAATATAATAATATAATAATAATAAAAATGATGTGAGTAACTACCAAAATTTTAAAATATAATAATATAATAATATAATATAGTAATAATAAAATTCGATGTGAGTAACGGTTATATTCAAATTTATATTTGTAAAAATAATTTTATTTAGAAATGTAATAATAAGAAAAACTCCACCATGTGTTACTCTTCCAATATTATAAATGTCATACTTTGATATATTTTGATTTGTCCATCATTTTGATTTTGTTGCCACATCATCACGTCGGGTATGTTGTCTCGACTCTAATTTCTTCGTTTTAGCTCTGATTTGAGTAATTGAAAAGTTGTTGTAATCGTTATTCCCGACCTTATACTGTGGACAGTTCAAAAAACTGAAAATAGTTAATAATTAAAAGTAGGTTTGTTATCATCAAAACATCAATAATTAATTCATTGAAATTAATTAATGTGAGATCAAGGGCCAATAAGCCAACATTGAGCCCTTATATTCCATCAAGTGTTACACATCATTAATCTTACACACAATAAGTAATTTTTCATAGTTTCTGGATCTGTCTTGTGTATAATTAGCCATCTTTTTATGGTTCGTGGGTTTAGGTAAATTCGCCACAAGTTAGATACGAATTAGTTTAGAATTTTTTTACCAGTTTGTCTTGTCCTTTTAATGGTAGACTCCTATAACATTTCAAGCCTACATTGTCTACTTTTGCTCATTATGTATCACTGCTAGTAGAAATTGTCTACTTTGGTCCGATATGTATTGTCATTAGCCTCAATTTTAAAACGCAAACCATTATAAGGAATGTTTTGTTCCCCTCTCACAATTCACTCTCCGGGAGGCTTAACATTCGCTAATAGATATTGACTGTTTTGGTTCGTTACATATTGCCGTCAGCCTCACGGTTTTAAAACGTGTTTGCTAGGGAGAGATTTTCACACTCTTATAAGGAACATTTCGTTTTTCTCGATGGCCTACCGCTCTAATACCATTTGTAACAGTCCAAGTTTGTCAATAGTAGTTATTGTCCACTTTTGCCCGTTATATATCATCATAGAGAGGTTTTCACACCCTTATAAAGAATGTTTCGTTCTCCTCTCCAACCGATGTGGGATCTCACGTCTCCAAACCAAGTAGGAACCACCGAAAAAAATCATAAGAATAAAAAAAATAAAAAGAAGAAAGGAAAGAAAAAAAAATACAAAAGAATTGGAAATTCAAAGCAAGACCCTTTGACGATTTGACCCCTTCATTTCCAACCGTTCAAAACATTACACGTATTTTGCGTGATTAATTTTGTCTGTAGTTTTTAATTATTATTTCATTTAGAAAAAGAAACATTATCTTTAATTCTCGTTGAAAGAAGAGAGAAAAAGATCAAACAAAATATCAGATGCGAAGAAACGAATAAAAACACCGTCGATTTCATACTCAGCCGTTTCCCTTCCAAACTGATTCAGTTCTTCTCGTTTATTTCACCGGCGCCGGAGATCGATTTGAACTATTCTCATCCACTCTCAAATGAGTCAGTCTCAGCCACAGCCTCAGCCTCAGCCTGATCCATCCAATCCACTCCCTCCTAAACCGTCGCACTCCGATCACCCGGATCCGATTACCGATCATCGCTCCGGCGAATATTCTCCCTATCCCAAGCTTGACCCTAGCGATGTTGCTCCGCCGCTGATGCCGGAGAACTGGACCACTGTCCCCATGAGCTCCCAACCCCAACATCCTCCTCCACCTCAAACTCAGCCGAACAGTGAGCCTCGTGCTCCGATCTCTGAGGGAAATGCTACCACTCTGCCGACTGAAGCTAATCCCTATGTTTCTGCGGCTCCAGCCTGTGGAAATCCATCTTCCGCCAAGAGTATGTGGTCGATTTCCCTAGATGTTAATATTTATTGAGCGTTTAGAATTAAATGAAATTCGAATTCGATAGATGTGCATGCTTGATGTATGATCAGATACGGTGGATTCCATGAAGGAGATGCTTGGAAGATGGGGGAAGAAGGCTGCTGAGGCAACCAAGAAGGCCGAGGATCTTGCTGGAAATATGTGGCAGCACTGTAAACCCTTCATTCTTTTAAATAATCAACGCGTTCTTTACCTTCTCATCACTACTGATAAATTTGAATTCAAGTTTAAAATAAATGATGAACTTGTAGGTGGTTAAGATGAGAAATTACAAGACTCTGATAGCACACGCAACTGTATGCCGACTTTGATTGGAATATAGTTTACGTCCATATAAACACAGATCTTAGAAAACCTACAATTGTTCTTCTAAGGATACTGGCATTAAGCGTTTTCCTGGAACTATTTCTCATTTGTTTTACTTTCATTATGTGCTCTGCTGTTTTATGTGTTGTGACTTCCATTGAATGAGCTGTGTTCTTTCTTATTGCCTGAGCTTGAATTTTGGATTACCTTTTATTTGGTACTATAAGCTTTTTCCGTTGAGGATTGTTTTTTCTGTTGAGGATTGTTGAGAGAGGAAGTCCCATGTTGGCTAATTAAATGGACGATCATGGGTTTATAAGTAAGGAATACATCTCCATTGGTATGAGGCCTTTTGGGAAAACCAAAAGTAAAGCCACGAGAGTTTATGCTCAAAGTGCACAATATCATACTATTATGGAGTTCCATGGTTTTTAACATTTTCTACACCTACTCATTTGTTTGGGATAGTGACTTTAAATACGACAATTTTAAAACACTCTTTATCATTCTTTTTGGAACTTTTTACTTGCTTCTGTTAAGCAATAATGATAAGTTGAAACAATCTTGTTTCAAACCAGTGAAAACAGGGCCTAGCATTACTGATGCTGCTGTGGCAAGAATTGCTCAAGGGACGAAAGTTCTTGCAGAAGGTGGTTATGAGAAGATCTTCCGACAGACTTTTGAGAGTATACCGGAAGAGAAACTTCAGAAGGCGTTTGCATGCTACTTATCCACATCAGCTGGTCCAGTGATGGGAACTTTGTACGTATCAACGGCTAAACTTGCCTTTTGCAGTGACGATCCTCTTTCGTACAAAGTCGGCGAGGAGACTCAATGGAGCCTTTACAAGGTAAAACTGAATTGTTGAATCTTACTGTTCGTTAAGTAGTCGATAATTAGATGAATCTAAAAGTTTTGGTTGAATTGATGCCAATTCAAGTGAAGAAGATGTGAAGAATGGGCCATCAATATTTATGAAAGTGAGGAAGTTAGAACTTGGGAACTCTTGCTGAGTATGGGTAATGCACCATTAATGGTCTATATTGGGAGATCTCACGTTAGTTGGAGAGGAGAACAAAACATTCCTTATAAGGGTGTGGATATCTCTCCCTAGTAGATGCATGTTAAAACAGTGAGGTTAACGGCAATACATGACAGGCAAAAGCGGACAATATGTGCTAGCGATGGGATTGAGCTGTTTCATATATGCTCAATATGTGCTAGCTATATTGTGAGATCTCACGTTAGTTGGAGAGGAGAACAAAACATTTCTTATAAGGGTGTGGAAACCTCTCTCTAGTAGACGCATGTTAAAACAGTGAGGCTAACGGCAATACATAACAGACAAAAGCGGACAAATATGTGCTAGCGATGAAATTGAGCTGTTTCATATATGCTGCACTTTCTTAGAAGGAAGAAAAAAAAAAAGTTTATATGAGGTGCAAACTGCTTCAATTTTATACATATTCCATCCCAGTAACTAGAGTAAACTCAAGTCAGATTCCAACTTCTCTATCCCGACCTCCCAGTTTCCTCTTGAATCAGTCTGATTGCCTCAAATCCAAATCCAGAATCATGAGACCCTTAAATCCATTTTTTAATGTTTGAGAACATTATTTCAATCACATGGTCAATAAAATTTCATTGGAACTCTGTTCTGGATCAACTGCAAAGCCTGAAAGATTATGCATTTTAGATTTAAGAATTTTTGCAACATCTTACAAGTTTCAGAGGGTCATCTTCTTCTAATAATTAAACGCATGCATACTTATCCTTTTGTTCATTACTGCAAAATTTTATTCGATTCTAAAATCTGGAGTGTTGATCAAGCGATTGCTCAGTTGATCTGTGGTTTCTTCTTTATTATCATTTTGTATTGATGATGCATGATTTTCCCCTATGTTGTGTTCATGATGAATGTATACTTCGATTTGATTATGACGTTTGGAGTTGCATCCTCTTCTATGCTTGGACAATGACCATGGCCAGCTCTTGTATTGCCCATCTTTACTTCATATAGGTTGCTGAGGTTCTATAACAAAAATTGATTAGAAATCACCTGTATCTTCTGTTATATGATAGGTGGTGATCCCGCTGCATCACCTGAAGGCAGTCAACCCATCAACAAGCAAAGCAAAACCGGCTGAAAAGTTCATACAAGTTATCTCCATTGACAACCATGAATTCTGGTTCATGGGCTTTGTATATTATGATAGTGCAGTCAAAATTCTTCGAGAAGCCCTGCAGCCCAACAATCCATTGTCTGTGTGAAAATCTTGTGAGGGCTGACACTTCTGGATCATGAACTTTTTTACCTGGTCACCCACAGTAAGAATTGAAGTAAGTCAAGATTTTGATGTTATATACAACAAATTACTGTAGAAATACCGTACCTCTGTAGTTTTGCTAGCAATGTTGTCTTTATGGACTTCATCATCATTCATATTTGTTTTCTCTACTGTGTATGGAGTGAAAAATTTGAAGTTGTTTGAACTTTTGTTGATGATATCTGTAATTTTGTTGATTGAAAGGTAAATAGTATTGATGATTGAATATTTTGAATATATGTTTTTAAATATGGATAAAAATGAATTTCAAAATAGAAAATAATAATAATAATGGTATTTGGACTCTTTCCATGTGACAGTTCATCATTCCATAATGGGCTTTTAATTCTCATCTAGGGCTCATCTTTAGTTCATCTACTTTTGCCCCTATGATATTTTGTTTTTGTAACCTTTTTTTTTCCAATTATTTTCTCCAATGTTCAAGAAATTAATGGATTAAGTCTAACATTAATGTTAAATAATAATTTAATGATACATTATGTAAAAATAGTTTCAAAAAAAGGGCAGCATTATTTAGGTTTCAAAATAATTATTTTGTTATAATTAAATTATTTATTAACAGAGGTTTTATATATATAAACTATTGATTACAATTATAAAAAATGGTACACACAGTAAATTATTATATTTTAGACCAAAATTTCAGAAAGGCCAACAAACACAAAATTTGGTTTTATGGTATATATTGACTCTATTAACCCTTTAAATAACTTATTATTTCATAGTTCAAAAAAGAATAAAAGTCCAAATATCTTTGTCTATTTAGTTTTATATTTTAAAATGTATCGAAGAGGTTTGTAAATTTTTAAAATGTCTATATACATCGACTTTCAATTCTCTATCCAATAGGACTCTGTGACGTCTTCCAAAACCTGACTTAATCAATATAAAATTAAGAGATTTATTGAACAATTACGGAATTTTATCATATATTCAAATATTTAACTTATCTGACACAAAATTGAAAATTTAAAAATTTATTACACACTTTTTTGAAGTTCAAATTTTATAAATTTTAATATAAAAATTTGCTACTAGCACGCTATGTGGAGGAATCCTCCGCGTCTTAGAGGGACTATAGCCACTTAGGCCAAGGAAGTTTGAGGCAATAACAAGTTTGTGATGCCCTTAGATGTTCTGGGTCGCACGTGCGCTACACTGATGTATTCAATGAGTCTATAGCCTTGACCAACAGGCTCGTAGAATCTTTGAAATTTAATTGTGATGGGGATAGATCATTGCAATTGTTGGTCTTCAACTCTGTGAACTTTTCTTTATAGGGGGTTCCTCTTTCTCCAACTGATGTGTGACATCACAATCCACCTCTCCTTGAGAGCCAGCGTTCTCATTGACATACTGCTTGATGTCTGGTTATGATACAATTTGTATTAGTCAAAGTTCATCGGTAGCGAATATTGTCATCTTCGAACTTTTCCTTTAAATTTCAAAAATTTCAAAACGTGTGTACTAGTGAAAGATTTTTACCGGACTAGCAGATGAGAGCAATAATGGAGGGTTTTCAGCTTTAGGTTGATGAGATGAAAGAGCAAAGGGCAAAGGCAAAAAGCAAAGACATGACGGATAAAAAAAAAAAAGAAATAATAAATAAAATATGGATATGAAAAAATCTTAAAATGTTAGCAAAATAAGCAAAGGTATTATTATTGTCCCGACACCGGACACTGCCTCAACACTTGAACTACATTCCTGTTCTTTACTTTTCCCACCAAAATCCACTTCCAAACACATTCACTCTCCCCTTTCCCATTGCTTCCCCAACTCCAAACTTAGTTCCAAACACAACATCCACTTTTCATCACTATCGGTCACGCTCGAGTAAAAGAACGTATATAAATAAATCAACATGACATCCCCACAAGAACACTTGGATCCTCGAGAAATGCTTACAAGAACAAAAGTTATCATTTATACAAACAAGACGTCTCATTCTTTTCAGTGACTTAATTATAAGAACTCCAAACTAAACGTGCTTTGTTTGAAACAATTCTACGTCGGGTAACCTTGGATTTGTACAAAGAATGCTAATTCGAATCCGGGTCATGGAGTGATAAGATTATTGAAGGTAATCAAAGGAGGTAGAAGAAGAAGATGACAGATGTGAATAGAAAGCAGAAGAAAAAAGAGGGCTTTGCATGCTTACCACGTTTGATTTCCCTTTGTTTCCTTTCAAAAACACTATATTTCATCCAAAAAAACCAAACCCAAAATAGAGACAATAATTTCAACATAAAACCCATTAATCAAAATGGCTGAAATTCAGTTTTTAACTGTAAACAACATGAAATTGATAAAGTAAGGGGAAAAAAACACCAAAACTACTCAATCTAACCCTAATTTTAGATCTCCAAATTGACCATTTTTTTAGTGAAGAACATGAAGAACAAAATAATGGGTTATTTCAAACTCACAAACTTTATGAAACCCTAATCATTTGAGCACTTCTTCCCCAAAGTATGCTTGTTGTTATGCATCCACACCTTAAGCACCTGCCGCCGGACACCGGTGGTTCGACAGAACTCTTCCACGTCAGCCTCATCGTGTTTTTGAATTGTCCACCCAACTTTCTCAGCAAACTCCAACATTTTCTCCTTTTGTTCTTGGCTGAACTTTGTCCGGAATCTCTTCTTCAACAACCCACTTCCGCCGCTCCCTCCGCCGCTACTGCTCGGATTAGATGTGTTATCCTCCTCCTCCCTCCCTGACACTGCCGCCGGTAACGCCAATGGCCTCTGCTGAATTGGAGCACCTGTCAAGTACACGTAAGCAGAAGGGTGTGGGGGCCCACGATAAGAAAACTGATGATGTTGATGTAGGTTATAGTAATGTCCCTGATCTGAATCCGTTTCTTTCCGGTGGAAATTCCGGTGACAGTTACACGCGGCGCATTTTAGTGCATCTATACTCCCTTCCTCTCCCGCCGGTAGAAACTCGCCGCACCCATCCACCGCCTGCCCTCCGATTCCGATGGCGTGATTCTTCAAACACTCTTTATATCTAATATTACCTCCTCCTCCTCCTCCTCCTCCGCCGCCGGTTTTTCTCTCCGCCGATGAACCCTCACCGGGTGGCGGCGGAGTGGCGTCGAAGTGGTGGGCGATGGGCATCTCCTCTATTACTTCATCGTCTTGGTCGTCGTGCTCCTCATCGAAATCCATTTTGATAAAAACCCCAAAAATAAAAATGAAAACTTTGCTCCGCCGGAGATTAGATTAAAACAAAACAAATAAAAAAAGTTTTTTTTTTTTTAATTTTACTTCAAGAATAATAATAATAATAATTTATAGAGAGAGAACAGAAAGGATAAGAGAAAGGGGTGAGAGAGTGGCCATCAATTTTTGCACAGCCTTCACAAAAAAAGGACCTGTCTTTACTCTTTCTGTTTTCTAACATAAATATTATATATATATATATATATATATTTAAATATTATTTTTAATTTATTTAAAATTTTAATTTCAAATTTGGGAATTTGGAAAGTAGAATGGTTTGCGTGAAGGAATGAATTAGGGTTTTGTGAATGAAATTAATGTGATAATAAAATAATTATTATTATGTTACTGAAAAAGATGGTTGCAATTTGCATATTTCATTAAAAAAAAAAAAAAAAAAAAAAAAAAA